CAATATTTTTTTTTTGTTTTGTAAATTGGGTACTTGCTTTTCCCATTTTTTAAATTTTACGTCTGGTTTTCTAACCATTTTTTTTGAAGAAGAATGGTTAAGAAAAAATATTTCCTTAACCATTCTTCTTCAACTACCATTCTCTCTGTAGTAAGAGGATAATTGTTGTGGTTGTCATGCAGTTCTCAATATCATACTTAAGAATAAATTATTCATGAAAATTATCTGGCGTTCTAAGAAATTTATCGATTGATTGCTCACACCATTGCCCAACCGTATAGATTGTTTGTATCTAAATACATTTTATGCGAATTTAGTTTGTTGCTACGCAACAAACGCAAATAGGACTGCTTAATTTTACTTACGTTTACTCGCCATTGAAATATCGCCACGTAGCCCTTTTTCCATGAAGTGGTGCATGTCAATATTGGTTAGTAGCTCGAGCTAAACTCTAGTCTTTTTCAATAGCGCATCCCAACTCATTTCTGGAGGCTAAAGTAGTGAGCTGAATCAAGACCGTAGTAAGTGGTTCTGAATTTTTTGAAAACGTCAGCTAGCCGCTTTTTTAAAATATATATCATGGTAGTCACCAAACGTTTCGCAGTTAAAAGCGTTCCAAACATTTTGCGCGTTACTCATGCGTTGCTCATAGTCTTCAGCCATAATCCCATCTATTGATAGCTTACTAGTAAAAAGCCTTTTGAAGTGGTAAGCATCGCTCATTGAAACTGTCAAAGCTGTCACCATATTCGTAGGGGTGGAAGCCCTTACACTTTCAGTAGTAATGGCTCACTATCAGTTAATCCAACTCATGTTATCTTAAAATCAAGGTTTTCAGCTAAAGCGTCAAGAGATAAGCTCATAAATTGCAGACTGTCAATAAATTGTAATTGGCCTAAGCCAAACGTCATGTGCTTTTTAAGAGTTTTTGGAATTACAGCTAATTTTGCCTCCTTTTGCTTTATCGAGAGCCTGCATAATTAGATGTGAATCGTAACCTCGCAAAATATGTAACACTCTAGGGACCTTGGTTACATCTAGTCTAATACAAAGCTTGAGACTACAATCTCTGTGAGCAGCACATCAGTATTTTTTTCGAAATATGGCAGTAATCGTGAATCTTATATTACCAAGATTTTTATTACAGGTGTAGCAGACTTTTGCTTCAGCAAATGAAGTTTTTTCAACATCAGTCATAACCAATTTTTTCGGATTTCTAAACACTTCGTTAGTTCTTTCACAATCGCTCGTCCAAATTTGAATAATATTTTAAACTAATACACTTTTTTAGGTGAAATGCACATTATAGTTTAATAATATGATCTGTTCTGATTGTTTATTGGCAAATTTTTTAAATTATAAACTCTTTCTTGGTCGGAATTCTATAATTTTTTGTGAAAATTGATAGAAATATTGTGTTTTGACAACTATATATAGTTAATATACGTCAAAACCAATTAGAAATGGGTTCAGTTGTAAATTAAGGAACTTTTTCAAAAGATTTTAACTAAATTCATGTTAACACCGATAAATGGAATTGATCTAAAGACTCCAAAGTAGTGTTCCTTAGATTCACTATTACGGGTAGTAAAAAGGTTTTGAAAATTATATATAAAAAAAGAAAAGTTTCTTTAAATATTAAAAAAACCTTGAGCAAAAAAGAATTATACCATCTAAAGCTTTTGTTTGGACATAATACGTTGATAAAATCATGCTAATTCCAAATAAAAGTATTCAAACAATTTTTAAATCGCCTTAACTACACCGAGCAAGCGAGTAGAGCTTTTAGCTGGATTATTAGAAGTAACTTCTACAGGTACATTTAATGCTTTAAAGTTAGCATTAATGATGTATGGTACCTGCATCTGTTTTTAATAATTATTAGGTTTTAAAGTATCGTTCTTGCCATTTTTCCGGCATCACTGACAAAGGTGACAAAGTTGTTTAAGACCGTGATTTTTGCTGTTATAGTGAATCATTCCAGCTAAGTTTTTAAACCAAACATAATGAAACTTATTCTATTGAATGAGTAAAAGGGCAATATCAATCTTTTTTCAATTGCTTATGTAAAGAAAATATAGACCCTTTTGGACGTTTTTTGGCGCTTTTTGACGCTTTTTGACGCGAGAAAATTCAATGTCATCAAAATTTAGTTCTCCAAGATGTTAACTATACTTTAATGTGCGGTCCGCATGCTTTTTTCCGGAAGTATCTACTAGACACAATGCGCTTAGAATAACCCACTCAAAGCATTGGTTATCTTTGTTTTTAACATTTATAACGGTTTGGCATTTTAATATAACTATTCACTCTAATTGGAATATAATTTGCAACCCCAAATTATAATAATTTACAACGACTAAGTGTTCAACCTGAACCTTCATTAAAATTTTTTTCAAGAAGTTCATTATTTTTTGCTAGACCTGTATTAAGCAAATTCTTGATGTTATTTTTATGAAGAATACCTGCTACATCTAAGCGAAGGTAAACAGTCTGTTTTCTTAGGAGATTTGTTAAATACAATTGTTCTAGTTCAGCAACTAAAATTACTTTCAATCTTTATTGATTTTGCTTTCTATTAATTCCTTAATTTTTGGTGCCATATCTTTTATAAATACAAGTGGGTCAGACTAAAGTCTGTAGCTATGTGGTAATTTAGCCGCATAACCCGCGAGCTGGGTAGTTTCTTTACTTTTTTCAAAATCAGGTAATATTCCTTTTGCACCTTATTGTAAAACATCATTTCTAAACCAGTCATTTAGCTCTTTGTCAGTAATAGTTCGTTTCAATTTAGGTGGTTCTTCAATCTTTGGAATAGGTCTAGATGCTGGTCTAGGTACTGACCTAAGTGCTGGTTTAGGAGCTAACCTAAGTGCTGGACTAGGTGTTTTCATAGGTGCTGATTTTTCTAGTTTTGATGTAAGTTTAAAGAAATCTTTTATATTAGTAATATAATGACCTTTTATATCTTTTATATTAGTAATATAATGACCTTTTACAGGAACAAAAGGTTTTTTTGCTTTCTTTTTTACAGTTTGTAATAAGTTAGTGGCTCTTTACGCTCAAGTGGTTGCTTACGTTTAACTGGTTGCTTACGCTCAACTGGTTGCTTACGCTCAACTGGTTGCTCTCTCAACAGCTTAACAGCTGAAAGCTAATCTTGCATTGAAACTTTTTCACGAAGCAGATTTTAAAGTTATGAAAAAGATTTCACTTCTAAGGAGTCCATTTCATAATATATCTTATAATTGCCTTTCTCTAATTGAAAATTAAAAATTTAAAACTTACTCATTTTTGTAGCTCTATTATAAGAAATTTTTTTAGATCTGTGTCTGATGGATAACATTTTAATATTTTTTCTGCCACCTGAATTGTAATAAGTACATCACCAACTTTCTTTAGATAAATATGACAAACAGATAACACGAGTCTCACCATACATTGAAATTAAATCTCCAGATATTTTTTGAGGGTTTGTATATGTAATACCTACCTAAAGAATGTCATTATTAGCTTTTTTAACATAATTATATACAATTATATACAATTATATATGCATAATTATATAACAATTTTTAGTATAGATAAATGGCTAACAACGTCATTTGTATTAAAAATCATTTGTGTATACCATATATATATTTTTTTATCATCCGCTCTCTATATATATGGAAAAATATATAATATATTTGATGAAAAGCTTAAAGATAATAATTACTTAAAAAAGTTGCGTAAAATCAAGTCTAAAACTTTAATAACCAGTAGAAAATCCTGACGTTAAAAACCCTTTCATGGAATCGCCGCTTACCATAGTACTTAACCATAGAGCGAAAAAGTTTCAATGTGTGTCAAAATGTTTTCTTAAAATGGGTGTAAAAAAAGATGGTATAAAAAGCTCTCCGATGGGGTACAAAAACTTTTAGAGAGCAAAATGGTCAAGTGGCGTCAAACTCCCAAAGTGATGTTACAATGAATATATAGATCTAAATTAAGTAACTAAGTTTTATTGAGGTCAATGTCATAGTACTTGCAATTAAAAATATCTTGCAATAATCATAATTATCTATAATCATCTGACAAAAATATATAAAAATAAAGAACCACTTGCGAGTCTGGAACTTTTAGGTAAACGTCTTTTTTTTATATATCTATAAACATATCTCTTAAATTTAAAGTTAAAATTGAGTGTTGTTAAAGTTATTAAAAGCTGTAATCATCACCTTAAAGGCCAGTACCGTGAAATTTTGTAGAAGATTGTTTTTGAATACTTTTATTGATTTTCTTAACAAAATTTGTGCAAAACAAAGGAGAATTAGTACAAAAAGAAGGTTGATTGCACCTAACAACCTTCTTTACGGTAAAGGCAAGCCTAATTTGGTTTGTATTTCTAAACTCTAAATGTCTGCAAAATATTGTATTTCTGATGGCACCAGTATGTCAAAGAGTACTAAAACAAATCATAAAATATTATTTGCACCTTATTTCAAGATTACACGGCAGGGCGAATGCACATTTCCAATTTTAAACATACCAATAATTTTTTTTCTTAGATTTTGTTATTGTATTGTAAAGTTGAATTACTATACAACATTCGCTGTTGTTGGAACATTACAATAACATTTAGTAGCTTGTGAAAACTTATGTAAATCTTTTATAAGCATGCAAGGTTCTTTATTAAAATTTTAAACTTTTAAATTTTATATCAAATAAAGTTATAAATTTTATGCTACGTTTTCATATATTGTCAATAAAAAACATCAGCTAAAAGTACTTTTTATTTAAATTAAAAAGATTTGCTAGGCAAAGTGGATGTATTATTAATTAAAATTTTAACATCAAATATTACCGTGTTTAAACTAATTATTTTTAAATATTTACAAACAATTATATATATATATATATATATATATATATATATATATATATATATATATATATATATATATATATATATATATATATATATATATATATATATATAATGTTATACAACTTTAAAATAATGAAAAATTATTATTAAATAATAAAATGTAATAAATAGCTATTTAAAAAAAAATATTATTCCTCTTGCTTTCTTGTTCTTAGAGCTCGTCGCCGAGATGCCCGAGCTTCGTCTTCTTCTCTGTCTTCTTTCTCTCTTTCAGTGTTACGCAAACTTCGAGATCGACTCGATCTGCTTATTTCTTCGTCTTCATCTTCTGCCTCTCGATTTCTACGTCTTTGGGTTGTGTCGTTGTTTTCTGTAGTGTTGCGGTTTCTTTGAGATCTTACAGAGTTTTCTTCAACTTCATCGTGTCGTGTTTGCCTGCGTGATTCTAACTCTGGTTCTGATTCCAATTGCCGCGTTTTTCTAGGACCACGTGTTTCAGATTTTGATTCGAGACTTGATTCTTTTTCTTTATGCAAGCTTTCAGAATTTTTTTTTGGACCCCGATTTCGATCTACTCTTGAAATTTGAGTGTCAGAGTCAAGTGAAGGACTTGGCTCTCTAGTTTGCTTAATGTCTTTCGGTTCTTCTTCAGGTAAAGATTCTTTTGAATGTGCTGATATGTGTATTTTTTTTTCTTGTTTATCCGTTGAAGGAACCAATTCGGGGTCATTGGTTGTTATAGTTTCATACTGCGTTTCAGAGGAGTTAGAAACGTGATTTTCATTAAGGGCAGGCGATGTGTTGATATTTATTGGGGATGAATCTTCAGTAAACTTTTTTGTATTGTTTAACTTTCTAGCCCATGCTGGAGCGTTTTTTGCCTCGTCATTTTTTTCTTCTTTTGATGCTTCAATACTAGCACGAGCACTGTTAAGTTTGTTTGCCCAAGCCGGTGTCTTCATACTGTTAAGCTTTTTATCCTTCTTGTTTTCCTTTTCTGCATCAATAAATTTTTTTGTTGAATTAATTTTGTTCGCCCATGCTGGGGTTTTCTTTTCTTCTCCTTCATGTTTTTTCTTTTCAATTTTTTTCACATCAATGTGTCTTTTGCTGGAGGCCCATTCAGGGACATTTTTTTGTTCGTTTGAGATTTTATTATCAACAATAACTTTATTTTTAAGAACTGCTTTAAAATCTTCAACTTTTTCATCAGAACTACCAGAAATTCCTTGGAATCCTGGACCAATGCTTCTAGGCCTGCTGCGACCGTTTTTATTTGTTACCATATCTCGTTGATCTAAATTTTGGTCTTGTTTATCTAGAAGAGCTAGCAAATCGTCAGAAGTAACGCGTTTTTGAGACGTTTTTGTTTCAGACATCTTTATAGGCTAAGAAAAAAATAAAAATAAAAAGATAAGAAAAATATTGAAAATAAATTAGCTATAAAATATATTGGAGAAGATTTTATTTAATAAAAAATTTTGAAAATCTTATGATTTACTTGCTAGTAAAACATTTCAAACTTCTTACACATTAAAATGTGTAAAAAAATTTCAAATTTTGATTGTTTACAGTGTAACCATTTTCTAAAGCCAGTATGTGCTGGGTTACCACATACCCAGCAGCACATATTTATTGGGTCAACGTATATAAAACCATCGCGAGCGTTGGCTGTTTTTTCTGATGCAAATCTAACGTTGATCCAATAGACCAGCTGAATAAAAAAAATCAATTGCTTTTACTCAGGGTTGCTGGAGTAATTGCTCAGCTTTACGAAAATAAAAATTTGAGCAATTTTACTCTAATTTTTATTTACATAACTGAAACGATTGTTGATACAATGTATACAACCCAACGTTGCTAGAGCAAAATTATAGATCTTAAATAAAATCTTCCGTAATTATTTAAATATCAAAACACAAGCAAAACAAATATCATTAATAATTTAATTGACTATTATTACATTAATCGCTTTGTAGCTTATAAAATGTATAACTATATATATATATATATATATATATATATATATATATATATATATATATATATATATATATATATATATATATATATATATATATATATATATATATATATATATATATATATATATATATAGTGCTTGAAGAGGAGAAAAAAAGGAAACAGGTTAGTATTCGCCAAATTAGAAATACAATCCCGCCTAATAATTGTTATATAGATTTATATATATATATGTTATATATATATATATATATATATATATATATATATATATATATATATATATATATATATATATATATATATATATATATATATATATATATATATATATATATATATACATATATATATATATACATATATATATATATACATATATATATATATATATATATATGTATATATATATATATATATATATATATATATATATATATATATATATATATATATATATATATATATATATATATATATATATATATATATATATATATATATATATATATATATATATATATATATATATAGGGTGATTCATATTTGACGAATTTTTGAAAATCAATTTGATCCTATCTAGAATGGTTGACCACCAATATAAAAATAATTTTAGGCCCAAAAATTTTAATGTCACGTAGAGGTCCCAACCAGTGAAATTTGTGTACAAAAACGTATCAAACTTCAGAGGTCAGGCGGGGACCTTTAAAATCAACTCAGAAAGCCAACTTTTCTTTTACATGGTATATTTTGGACTATTTATATATAATAGGGTAAGACCAAAATAAAATATGGCGGTATTTATTCCACATCGTGTGGAGAAAGTAACGAAAAAAACGGATTTTTACATAAAATGAACCAGTACTATGTGTAACTGACGCTGGTTTATTCTTCATATTTAGGCCGAATTTTGAAAATTAATATTTGAACTAAGCATTTTTAATATTTGTATTGAAGGGAATGTTAACAGCCACTTGCCTTACCTCCTTACCCTATTTTTTGAAGATATTTCCCCTATCCCTTCCTAATTGGGGGGGAGCGCCCCCAATACTATTAAAATTTCATTATAAATCATATTGTTTATAATTAATTTATTTTCTTTAGAAAAAAATAAAATTTAAATAATAAATCATGATAACATTTTGATTCCTGAATATTTTGGATTATTTATTCGTTTCCGTGGTACTTTTATAAACTAACATATTGTCGTATTTGCGAAAGACATATTGTCGTAATTTTAGATTCTTTGTTCTGTGTTCTGTGTATCTGGTGTATCCATAACATTCTATAAAAGGTATACTATCTGCGGTTATATATACAAAATTATTATTGTAAAATACATGTCATTTAATCAAAGAATGAATATCAATTGTTTTCTTTTATCAAATTACTGTTTAGAAACCAAGATTCCAAGATCGACAATACTTAAAACAAGGGCATATCTTTTTGAAGAAGAGAGTCTAAAAGAAAACCTACCAGAATTAATGTATTGAAAAAGTATAGAAATTATTCTCTACTTTCAGTTTACGAAGGAGACAAAATAACTTCAACAAAAAAGCTGATTGCTTGTACCATGAAAACTGCATTATGTCCTGAAAACTGCATTATGTTTGCAGTTAAGAAACCTTGAATAGACGGGGATACAAGAATGAGATACTAACTGACCCATTTATAAGATAGGTCAAACAAAATTTAATTCATATTAAAGGGACAGGTTACCATAAAATATACCACAAAAATTTTGGATAATATAATATTTTCTAAACCTGTTATATATATTATTACAGGAAGCACATCACTGATCTGATCAACAGCTGGGAGAATTTAAAGGAAAGTAATTTTAAGAACTCAAAAAAAGGAGGAAAAGCTAGACAAGATTTCAAAAGAAAAGAAAAGATTGTTTTCTGGATTGCTAAACCAAATATCCAAGATATTCTAAAGAAGACTATCTTTAATAAGGAGTCACATCGTACTAATATGAAATTTTTGAGAGATCAAAAGGCCAGCCGTAAAATGACTCAGGGTAAAAAAGACAAACTATATAACCGGAGAACCGAGAAGAAAGAACAGAGAAGATTAAAACATCCACAGTTAGTACATAGTGTTAAATAGTTTTTTCAGAAAGATGATTTGACTGCAGAGTCAGTTTTTTTCAGAAACTAGTGATATAAATACCTGCATAGACTCAGATTGTTCTTTTGATTTCGAACAGCCAGTTCCAAGTAATGACACGCCACAGTTAGCCAAGAATTTCGTACAAGATATTGACATGACTTCAGTTTCCAAAAATATTTCCTCCAGTGATTTGTAGCATGTGTGTACAGATTTGGTTGTTAGTTCAGGTGGAAATGTTGAAGACTTTTAAATGTCTCAATCAACTATTTCGCGAACACAAAAGAAAACCATCCAGAAAAAGGTTGCACAGCACAAAAAGGGTATAAAAAGCTGCTGAGAAAGCACTTTTCCCAATAATAAATCACTTTGATGGAAAAATTATGGAAGATTTCACTAATTGGAAAAAAGAAAAAGGAGACAGGTTTGCTTTTTTAGCTAATATTGATGGAGACGTTAAGCTTCTTGGAATTCAAGCTATGGAGAACATGTAGAGAAACACGACGCTAATTCCAAGAGAGTTCTAAACTGAATTGAAAGCACAATGATGTCAAGAAAGAGACACATCTGGTACTTAGATGAAATTTTGATTCCACTTGCTCTCCTAGACCCTGACCTTCCTGATGTGGAGAAACAAAATATTGCAAACATATTATTCTTTAAACCAGTTCCTGATCATTTTCAGCATTCAGAGAAGTTAAACTTGATAAAAGAGTTAAACTTTAAACAAGAAGTGCTATCAGGACTTGCTCGATTAACCGGAGAGAACTCTTGGTTTACCTTCAGTTTACTAAATCTGACAAGAATGGATGACAAAATTTTGGTTAAACTCTCCTGCTCCGATGTGGTGTTATGTTGACTCATTCAAAATATTTTCCAATTTTGTAAGTAAACTTGAAGTAGTGAACGATAGTTCGGAAAGGGCTGTATAACTTATATAAGAGTTTGTGAACAACTTTCACAATGAGGTTGATTGTCAAGAACTTTTACTAGCTGTGCAGCAAAGAAAAGATTCGTGTGTCAGAAACCAAGGAGTAGTTGTAGCTAGTGTATAAAGCAATATGCAAGAAGAGAAAAAAATAACAGGATTTATATATTATATTTAATCATTACATTATATTATATTATATTTACATATCATGATTTTAATATTCATATTGCCAAGTGATGTCTTTAAAAAAAAATAAATAAAGTGATTTTAAATAATATGATTTATAGTAAAATTTAAATAATTCCCCCCTCCCCCACCTTCCTCCTCCAACGAAGAAGGGATGGTGGGTGGGTCAAAATAGGGTGAGGGAGTGCCGGGTAGCTATTGACATGCCCTTTCTATATAAATATTATTAATGCTTAGTTCTAATATTAATTTTCAAAATTTTTTCGTTACTTTCTCCACAAGGTGTGGAATAAATACCACCATATTTCTTTTTGGTCCTACCCTATTATAAATAAATAGTCTAAAACATACCATATAAAAGAAAAGTTGACTTTCTGAATTGATTTTAAAGGTTCCTGCCTGACCTCTGAAGTTTGATACGTTTTTGTACACAAATTTGACTTGCTGGGACCTCTAAAGTCACGTTACATTAAAATTTTGGACCTAAAAGTATTTTTATATTGGTGGTATTATATATATATAAATATATATAATACCACCAATATATAATATTGGTGGTATTATATATATATAAATATATATATACATATATATATTTATATATATATGTATATATATACATATATATATAAATATATATATATATATATATATACACATATATATATATATATATATATATATATATATATATATATATATATATATATATATATATATATATATATATATATATATATATATATATATATATATATATATATATATATATATATATATATATATATATATATATATATATATATATATATATAGTTCCAACATTTGAATTTTATTCTTGAATTTTATTCATTTTTAACCAAAATGATATAAAACTGTTGATATAAAACACTGTTGGAAACCAATGTTGTGCTAACGTAGCTCGAAATATTGTTCTAACGTTTTATCAACGTATGTGTGCTAGCTGGGTAAGCATGTGTATGGTAATTAAATCCCCTTCCACTCACCCCACCACACTCACCCAATTTATGTGTTTTTCTATTAGAACCATACCTTATTAACAAATATTTTTAAAATGTTTAAAAGACAAAACGTAAAAAAATGATAATAATAAAAACAAAAAAATACAAATAGAAAATGGTGCTATTAAGTAAAACAACCAAAGTTTTAACGTAA